TACACTTCGGTGTAGATCTCTTATTAGTTTTTTTTTTCAACTTTAAGAACTACATTTTGATCAATTCTCTGTATAATGACCCTACTTTTGTAAACTTATTATAAGACAAGAAGTAAAATTCACAGTTTCTTCGTGTACACATCACTTTTGAGATTTGTCCATATAGCCAATTTTCAGCAAAATTCAATTGTTTCACACTTTTCAAGCACCCTAATAAATCAGTTAATATGTTAAGTTTAATATCAACTACAGTTGCGTTTCTCAAAATTCTTAATTCAAAAGGAATGCAAACTAATGGGCAAGCTCTACAAGAACAAAATTTTCAACAATTTCAGAAATTTTTGTTATGTCCTTCCCTTTGGTTCTCTTCAGACTTTTCAATTTCATGGTGTTGCTTTTGTGTTTGGATTGTAGAGATAATTTTTGAAGTATCTAATTTACTTGATTTCTCTTTTTATGTATAATCTCAAAAGTTCACATAGCATATATGTCATTATATGATTTATTGAAAACATATATTTATTTATTACCAGTATTTTATCATAGTTAAAATTACCTTAATTAAATTATATCAATTATTATATTAACTACCTCATGTTAAATACTGCCGGATATATTATATGAACTTTTGTTAATATCTTTAACTCTCCTTTGTTTAAGACAAGACATTTATTCAACATGTTTATTAATTACTTTTGAAAAATTATTCATTTACTATACAATATTGTTCTCCTAATCTTAATAAATATTAAGACACAAAGTCATATCTCTTTTCATCCTTTTATTACTTTATAAAGAATAAGATGATTCATTATAATTTTCATCAAGTAGGTCATTATTTTTTTTTGTTAAAAACCTATTATAATATATTGTTATTTCCTATCATGTTTATTTGAAAATATCATAATCATTTTGCTTTTAAAAATCAAATCATATTTCTATTATAAGATTGTAATATTGAACCAGTAAACGAGCCTTTCACTATCTAGTATGTGTGATACAAATGAAATTTGAAAAAGTGAAGTAAATTTTTGTGTTTTTTTTTAAAAAAAATATTTTGAATTATTAATTTATTTATCTTTTGCGTCAATTTCGAATAATATATGTTACTACATCTGTTTTATTTTATGTGATAGAAGTGATTTTAGGAAAGTTAACGAAATTTCTTATATAATTCTCACAAATTTTAGTGTCATTTTATTGTGATTCATAGTACTTTAGCTATTACTTTATTTTCAAACAATATGTACAACTTTTTTTTGTTTTGATAAAAATAAAGGAGTCAATCAAATTTCATTATGTTTTTTTAACAATGTTTTTCTACAAGTATCTTAAATTACTACATTGCGTTTTAAAGCTTTTTTTAAAAATGTAATTATCAATATGTAACAAATTAGAAATTAAAACGAAGAACTAAAGTTTTCAAATCATTATATTTCTAAATTAAAATGTTCAAATCTTTAAAACTCCACATATATGCACAAATTAATAGACAACGATTTTTTAAAAATAAATATATGAAAGCTCATTTTAAAATAACACATGTTATTCAGTTTTAGTATATGAATCTCTCATTTTCTATTTATACGAACTTATTTTTTTTTATTTCAAAAAGAAAATAACTTCTGGACTTTAATTTTTTTTATTTCAAAAAGAAAATAACTTCTGGACTTTAATTTTTTTATATAGCGTATTAAGATCACAAAATTAAAAAATATTTCAATATTCAAAATTTAAATATACATATAAATTTTAATTTCAATTTTGATTGATTTCACCTAATATTATACTTGATGTATAATTATTAAGAGTTAAGTGTAATCATTATTTATTTAATTTCATATAATAAATAGATATCACAATAACTCATAAAAAATAAAGAAATAACAAAAATGAGGTAATACTAATATATATATATATATATATTAAAAAAACAAGAGAGGTGAAAAACGCCACGTGTCAGTGCCACAATAAAACTGATTTTTTAAAAATAATTAAAATATTAATTATATGCAAAAGGACTAAAGAGTAAATTAATTTTTTATCTGAAAAATGTTTTTACATCATTTTCTATTTTTTACCATTGTCGATTTTTCTTTTAAATCATTCTAAAAATATGGTTATACAACTGTGTGATCCTGTATAATAATAATAATAATTATATATATATATATATATATATATATATATATATATATATACTATTTTTATATTTATATATAAGAGTAGAGTTGAGGAAGATCAAGGGCAATTTTGTCATTTCATAAATATCTTAGAATATGTATTTTTATGTTATGGCATCAAAAAAAGTCATAACAGATTTATAATAACAATACAACCAAAAATATTTTCTTAAATAACATGTGTATCCTAATGATGTGTCATTTAATTTGGACCCACATTTTTTATAGTGTGAAATTTGTATTAAACCAAAATATCTATTAAACAATTGCAGTTTCGTAATTTTTATATTATTAAGAGTGAAATAATAATTGTATAATTAATGACCAAAATGAAAATCTTGAAGAACCCATACATATCTTAATTTTTAAAATTGGCCCATAAAGATATTTTTATAATTGTGTTAAAATGAAGAGATTCTATTAGTTAACTTTTTACAAGCAATAATAAATGCTATGCTTTTTTTGACATGTTTTTGAAAGAAAAATTTGAACTAATCTAAAGTAAAATGTGTTTGAATAGTTAATATTTTTATTCCATATATATATATATATATAGAAGAGTGATGTGGTAGGACGACTAAGGATAAAAATGTAATTCCATTCTAACAAAAATCTATTAAGAAAGATAATAAATAATTTTAGAAATCTCTCTTTATATATAAACTGAATAATGATAAAGGGTAAAAATGTTATTTCAAACTAATAAAAATCTATCAAAAATGATGACAAGAAAATATAATATTTTAGAAACATATTAAGTTATTGTTATTACCATTAACTTATTTTGTCATTTCTTTACTTTTTTTTTCTTTTGTGAGTTATTGTGATATCTATTTTATTATTACTCTATTTTTACTTTAGGTTAATTCTTAATATTTTTTCTATTCATTATGCTTATTAAAAAATGCCTACTTTTTATATAAAACTTTATCATGAATTAATTATTTCCATCTTTATTTTGGTTCTAATTAATATACTTGAAAATAAATTTATATTATATGGAAGAGTGAAGTGGAAGGATGAACAAGGGTAAAAATGTAATTACATTCTAACAAAAATCTATTAAGAAAGATAATAAATAATCTAGAAATCTCTTTATATATATAAAGTGAATAATGATCAAGGAAAAAAAATATAACTTCATACTAACAAAAATCTACCAATAATGATGACAAGAAAATTAAATATTTTAGAAATATATTGACTTATTGTTATCACCATTAACTTATTTAGTTATTATTTTACTTTCTTTTCCTTTGTGAGTTATGGTGATATCTATTTTAATATTATTCTATTTTTCTATATATAGAAGAGTGAAGTGGGAGGACGATCAAGGGTAAAAATGTAATTCTTTCTAACAAGAATCTATATAGAAAGATAATAAATAATTCTAGAAATCTCTTTTATATACAAACTGAGTAATGACAAAGGGCAAAAATATAATTTCATACAAATAAAAATCTATCAATAATGATAACAAGAAAATTAGAGATTTTAGAAATATATTAAGTTATTGCTATTACCATTATTTTATTTTGTTATTACTTAACTTTTTTTCTTTTGTTAGTTATTGTAATATCTTTTTTATTATTACTCTATTTTACTGTTACTCTATTTTACTTTAGTTTAATTCTTAATATTTTTCTATTCATTATACTTATAAACTTTTTATATAAAATTTTATCATGAATTAATTATTTCCATCTTTATTTTGGTTCTAATTAATATACTTGAGAATAAGTTTCTATTATATGGAAGAGTGAAGTGGGAGGTGACCAAGGTAAAAATATAATTTCATTCTAACAAGGATCTATTAAGTAGGGGTGGGCATTCGGTATTTCAGTCGGTTTTAATTTTTTTTCTTATTTTTTGGTTTTCGATTCTTGTAAAATGTACCGAAATATTTTGGTTCGATTCGATTTTTGTTATTTCGGTTCGATTTTTATTAATTCAGTTCTGTTTTTAATGGACCTGCTTAGTGGTCTTTTTAAAATTTTAAACTTTACAATTTATTGTTCTATTTTTCAACTTAATGGGCTAAAATGTAAAAATAGACAATAGTTATCTGTATAATTTTCATTTCATTTTGTAATCGTAAGAATCCTTACTTATTCATTTATTTCTATTCTTTATTAGTAAGAATCCTTACTAATTCAATTCATTTGTTTATATTTTTTATTCGTAAGAATCCTTACTAATTTATTTATTTGTATTCTTTATTACTTCATGTATAATGATTTTTTTTAATCGAGAAATAAGTAAATCGTCATCAAGATCGAAAATTATCCACATAGGAGAAATATGTAAATTGTTTTTTTCGGCCACTATATAAAATGGACATACATAAAGTTTCCCTCTTCTTCCTCATTGACTATATGTCTTATTATTTCATAACAAAACAAAACTACCCTTTGAAAAACAAAATATAATCATATGAACATTTTAATTACTCTTTTTTTAAAGTTAATAAAAATGAAAAGATATGTTTGCATCAATTGGACCACAACAAAAACAAAGAAATGGCCCCCCGTACCGCAAGGTCCCCTCAAATCTCTAACTCCAACAATCACTATACATCAAAGAAGTGCATTATTAATTTTACTCTCAAATATCAATATGTTAATATGTCATTAGGCATTAACACCACAAATTTTAAATTCACAATGTCACTAAAATAAAAATTGCATTGTAGATTTATAGTTAATGTCTTCACAAATACAACATAATAACAATCTAACAAGTAACAATAAAGTCTTTCATGAGCTCATAATAAACAATAATGAGCAACAAACAATGTTTTTTAAAATTTTTTGTCTTCTTCCATGAGATTATTTTCAATTCAAATGTCAACAATAACAAACAACAATAATGAGTTTCTTGACTTTCTTCCATTAGACCGCTTTCAACTTTCAAGTGTCACGTGTCAACAAAATTATTTCTTCATTGTCTTGATTCTTGGACCTTTTAAGATAAAATCAAATGTTAGAATACTACTTTTAAGATTAAAAAATGATATGATTTAATAAATGTTGTATTAAACTCACGCTTGCAAGTCAATCATAGATCAACAATGAAAGAGTTTCTTCCACTATTTGCCATCTCTATAAATAAGAAAAAGAAACATGTCATACAAGATACAACACAATAAGTATTTTATTTTTTTTCAAAAGTAAATAAAAAAAAGTCTTACCAAGTTCAACTTTTTTCAAGAAACTCCAAACTTTCTTCAACACAAATAGGCTTGGTTTCTTGTCTAAGCCAATCTTGAACACAAATAAGACATTGCACAAATTTGGGAGTCAATGAAATTCTAAAGGGATCTAGAATACGATCACCGGTCCTAAATGCACATTCCGATGCCACACTCAACATAGGAATAGCTAATACATCTCGATCCAACTGTGAAAGTACAGAAAATCTAGGAGAATTAACTTTCCACCAACTCAAAATATCAAAATCTCCAGATTCAGGCTCTTGGTCTTCAAGAAGATATTTATCCAACTCAGATTTAACACCTAAACTTCCAAAATCTTGCTTTTGTTTCTTCATGTGAAACTTCGTTCTCAAAGAATTTTTGGACACATTTTGAGAAATACCACAAGCAGAAGAATCAGATAAGTCAGATGAAGATGGTTGACTTTTGGAACCTTTTCCATACTTACTTATATATATCGCAAACAAATCACTCAAGTAAGCATCTACTTTCGTATTCACTACATTTCTCGTTTCTTCCCCAAGTAATTCTTCAAGAGTAAAACTAACATACACAAATTTATTGCGAGGATCCAAAACAAAAGAAATAAAAATCATTTTGTTCATTTTTTCAAGAGTATCCCAATATTTTTTGAATGTTTCTTTCATTCCCGAAGTCATTTTACTCAAATCAAGGTTATCACTTGCCATACATAATTTCAAATAAGCATCAAGTTAACATATATTTTCAAAATGAACATTACAATTAACATATCGTGAACCTGAAACTTTCAAAGTGAGCTCATAAATTTTTTCAAGAAACTTTGTGACATTCCTCACATTAGCTCAATCTTCATATTGAATTGAACTTGTGACACTTCCATCTTCACAGGAAAAGAATTAAATTTACTATCATAAAGATCATACCTCTCAAAAGCCTCCTCAAATTTTTGTGTTGTGTCTAACATCAAATAGGTGGAATTCCACCTAGTAGGCACATCTAAAGACAACATGTTATCACATTCTATCTTTTGAATTCCAACACATTTCAAGAAATTTCTTGTCCTTGAAGAAGATGATCTAACATATTTCATCATTTGTCTCACCCTTTTGATAGAAGGACCAATTTCATTCAAACCATTTTGCACAATTAGATTAAGTATATGAGTCATACATCTCAAATGGAGATTCTTACCTTCCATCATATTAGTTCCCCACGTATCTAATTTTTTGGACAACTCTAAAACTGCCACATCATTTAAAGAGGCATTATCAACCGTAACAGTAAAAACGTTATCCAACTTCCAATCAAGTAAACAATTACTAATAGACACAACCAAATGTTCACCTTTATGACTAGTGATAGGACAAAAATTCAATATTCTTTTATGAAGCTCCCAATCCCTATCAATAAAGGGAGCAGTCAAATACATATAATTGATTCTTTGTACTGAAGTCCATATGTCTGTTGCGAGAAAAATTCTTGGTTGTATTTCTCTTAAAGATTGTTTCAAATTTATTCTCAATTTACCATGAACTTCATAACAGTCCCTTGTTACGGTTCTACAAGAAGGAATATGAAACAAATGTTGGAATTCACTCATAAACTTCTTAAAGCCTTCTTTTTTAACAAAACTAAAAGGTAGTTCATCAAAAATTATCATCTCAACTAAAGTTCTCCTACATACCTCTTGCTCAAATTTCCAAGTCTCTAAATTGATACTTTGAATATTTAATAATTTTTAAATACCAGGTGCAACAGTCAAAGGTTTATACACTTTATACCGATAAGTTAAATGTTGTTTTAGTCCACTTGTTTTATTTCTTGTTGTATTGGCAGCATAGTATTATTTACAATATAAGCACTTTGCTTTAACTAATACACCATTTTCAAAAACCTTTTCAAAGTGTTGCCAAACAGGAGATCTAGGATCCATTTCTTTTTTTTGTTATTTTTGTGCCAATTGACGGATAATTGCTATTACTAGGTGTATTATCCGTACCACCAACCATACTTATTCGACTTTGATCAGCTAGACCCATATTTAATTAATTTTGTTCAGCCAGTTATATATTAAAAATCACAATAAATTCACACTAACTAGTAACAAAAACAAAAATCAGAAAGAAAAAAATAAAAGAAGTTAAGAACAAAGAAGAAAATTAGAAAAACAAACCTGATTGGGCTGGCCGCCAAACGCCGGTCGCCAGTTGAAGTCGCTGGCCGGTTGAAGAGTTCAAGTCGCTGGCGGCTGTTGCTGGGTTGCTGCTGCTGCCTGAAAGGAAGAGGAAGAGTTGCAAGAGCTGAGAGGAAGAGCTGCAAGCTGAATATTGAATTAGGAATAGGGACATAGGATTTCAGATTCTTTTTTCTTTTTTAAAAAGATTATTTAAGATTAATAATTATTAATTAATATAATATAAATATAATATAAATATAATATAAATTATAATACAATATTTCGGTTTAAATCGAAATACCAAAAACCATAATAATAAGTATCGAAAACTGAATCGAAATATTGAAAAATATAAAAAAGTAAACCAAATACCGTATCGAAAACCAAAAACCAAAATTGAAATACCGAAAAAAATTGGTTCGGTTCGTATTTTGGTTTTTCGGTGTTTTTGCCCACCCCTACTATTAAGAAAGATAATAAGTAATTCGAGAAATCTCTTTCTATATATAAAGCGAATAATGATCAAGGACAAAAATGTAATGTTATACAAATAAAAATTCGTAAATAATGATAAGAAGAAAATTAAAGATTTTAGAAATATATTAAGTTATTGCTATTACCATTAACTTATTTTGTTATTACTTTACTTTCTTTCTTTTGTGAGTTATTGTGATATCTATTTTATTATTACTCTATTTTACTATTACTCTATTTTAATTTAGTTTAATTCTGAATATTTTTTCTATTCATTATGCTTATAAAAATGGCTACTTTTTATGTAAAACTTTATCATGAATTAATTATTTTCATCTTTATTTTGGTTCTAATTAATATACTTGAAAATAACTAAGTGTGATAAAATTAATAATAAATATTAGATTGAAATTAAAGAGAAAAGATGTTAAAAGTAACTTTACAAATAAAAATAATAGGATGATATATTTATATTAAATACGGCCAAGAATAAAAATATAATTTCATCATAACAAAAATCTATCAAGAATAATAATTCTAGAAACATCTTTCTATATATAAAGTGAATGATGATCAAAGGTAAAAAAATGCAATTTCATGCAAATAAAAATCTACCAAGAATGATATCACGAAAATTAAATTCTTCTAGTAGCATCTTTAGTTATTATTATTAGTATTACCTCATTTTTGTTATTTCTCCATTTTTTTATGAATTTGCGATATCTATTTATTATATGAAGGTAAAGAAATTATGATTATAATTAGCTCTTAATAATTATATATCAAGTATAATATTAGGTGGAATCAATTAAAAATAAAAATAAAATTTATATGTATATTTAAATTTTGTGTATTAAAATATTTGTAGATTATGTGATCTTAAATATGCTATATAAAAATAATCAGAAGTTATTTTTTTTGAGATGAAATAAAAAAATAAGATTATATAAATCGAAAAGGAGGAATCATATATTATAAATGAAATATATATGTGTTATTATTAAAATGAGCTTTCATATATTTTTTTAAAAAAATTCTTTTGGTTTCATTCTATTAATTTGTGCATATATATGGAGTTTTAAAGATTTGAATATTTTAATATAAGAATATAATAATTTAAAAATTTCAATTCTTCGTTTTAATTTCTAATTTGGTACATATTTAAAAATTACATAAAAAAAAAAGCTTAAAATCTCAATGTAACAATTTAAGATATTTTTAGAAAAAAACATAGTTAAAAATCATAATGAAATTTGGTTGATTCCCTTATATTTAATGGGGGAAAAAATAAAATTGCATATATTATTTAAAAAAGACGTGAGAACTACAAAGTACTACGAATCATAGTAAAATGACAACTAAAAATATGCGATAATCATATAAGGAATTTCTTTGAATTTCCTAAAATCACTTGTATCATATAAAATGAAACAGATGAAGTAACATATATTATTTGAAAATTGACATAAAAGGTACATAAATTAACAATTGAAAATATGTTTACAAAAATTACATATAACGAATTTAGTCCACTTTTCCAAATTTCATTTGTGTCACATTAATTGGAAGAAAAAAACTAACAGACGTTGGGCCCGTATTGGCGCGGGCACCTAAATCTAGTATTATTATTATATAGATGAGCCAAGTTAAGGACGATCAAGGGAAAATTTGTCAAATCATAAAATTTTTAGAATGTTTCTCTCTACGTTATTGTAACGACCTGCTTAGTCGTTTTGAGCAGTAGAGTATTTCTGGTAATAACAGTCTGACTCGACGGATCCCACGACGGACCGTCATGGGCACGGCGGACCGTCGAGGGGGTCTCGTTCCAAAATACTTAGCATTCTGAAATTTGGGTACTGAGATCGACTCTCTGAACTTCGTGACGACATGGCACGACAGACCGTCGTGGGCACGACGGACCGTCACAGACTCTTCAAGGACTTGAGTCTCTGAACTTTGTGACGGAAGCAGTAGGACGGGCCATCACAGTCTGCGTAACCCTTCCTGGGTCGGATTTCTGTTAAATGTTTTAAGGGGCGTTTTGGACTATTCCTTCTTATAATTATGATGTTAGTGGTTTAATGTTAATAATTCAATTACTTGGGGGTTAAAGGAGATAACCTTGAATTAATTAGTGGGTTACTTTTGTCATCTTTTATACTTAATTATATGCTAATTAGGGTAAAAGAAAAAGGGTTTGAATAAGAAAAATAGAAAGAACAAAGAGAGGGAGAAACGATCGATCCAGAGGAGAGAACGAAGAGGAAAGCAATGCTTTGGAAAAGTAGATTTGTTGATCACGAATTCTTCGATGGAGGTAGGTTATGGTTTATGCTATTTCATAGTAAACTCTTAATAGCGAATGATATGTGTTGGGTAGTATTGTAAACCCTTCTATATGCTTAATTGTGTTCTTGCGTGATGTGATTATATAATTGTGATAAAATAAGCATAATGAGGCTATTGAATCCTAAACCTTGAAATCTCTTTGTTAATGATGATGTCGTGGTATGAAAGAAGGCTTGATGAACTAAAGTAATGAGATTAGAGGATCGGGTGTCACGTTCCGACACCAGGATAGTAATAGAGGATCGGGTGTCACGTTCCGACACCAGGATAGTATGATGAGGATCGGAGTGTCATGTTCCGACACCAGGATAGTATATGGATCGGAGTGTCACGTTCCGACACCAGGATAGTATGATGAGGATCGGAGTGTCACGTTCCGACACCAGGATAGTATGATGAGGATCGGAGTGTCACGTTCCGACACCAGAATAGTATGATGAGGATCGGAGTGTCACGTTCCGACACCAGGATAGTAAGGAGAATGAATCTTGAAATATGCTAATATACTCAATCTAAAGAACTAAATTCCAAATGAGTATGGTGTGGAGGCTTGAGCCCTCATAGATGTGGTTGGTGTTAATGCAAATGACTCTTATGCGTGTTGCTATAACCTGTTAAGTATTTGGTTGGTTTTATGTTATTATCTGACCTATACTGTTTTCTATTTTGAGTTGGCCGATGATACCTACTCAGTACTTGTGTTTTGTACTGACCCCTACTTGTATGTTTTCTTTTGTTATTTGTGGAGTGCAGCAAACGTACCGTCAACTTCAACTCAATCGCAACTCTAGCCAGTCTTCATCACACCAAATTTTCAGGTTGAGCTAATGCTTCTAGCTTGGACTGAATCTTCTTCTTCATATCTTGATGCCTTGGAGTTCCGGCATGGACTAGCTTTTTATTTATTTTTAGTTTCTTAGATACTCTTAGCTTTTAGAAATTTGAGGATAGATGTTCTTGTGGTGATGACTTCCAGATTTTGGGGAATAATAAATATTTGAGTTTTAGAAGTATTAATCTATTTTCATCAATGAGTTTTAAGTCTTCCGCATTATATTCTGTTTATATTGTATTGAAAAGTTAGGATTTAGATTGGTTGGTTCGCTCACATAGTAGGATAAGTGTGGGTGCCACTCGTGGCTCGTTTTGGGTCGTGACTAACTTTGTATCAGAGCATTAGGTTCGTTGGTCTCATCACACAAGAACGAGTCTAGTAGAGTCTTAAGGAACGGTAGGGGGACGCCTTTACTTTTCTTTGAGTGGCTATAAGACTTTAGGAAAATTTCATTCATTCTTTCTTTCTTTCTTTCTTTCGTGCTATTACTTGGATCCAATTGGTATCTAGGTGATACAAATTGGTATCTGACCATCTTCACTCTATTTC